TCTGGCCTACCTCACATAATATAAGAAAGCAGACAGGATGAAGATCAGGGCTTTAGATACAACTTACCCAGTCTTTCCAAACTAGATGCCTTGATAGTTCACCAGAGGATGAAATGCTGGTAGGATATCTTTGAAGTGAGACTCATTCAGATTGATCTTCACACCCTAATGGTCAACAACCGGATAACGTTGGTTGCAGGCAGCCTTCACCACCACCCCTTCCTGGGACTCCTCCTGGAACCCCACCGTCCGAGAAGGATCACACAAGTGCTACTTGACGCGTCAAAAAAATCACTTTCCATACTTTCTTACAAACCAAGGCAAAATGTTTGGCATTGTAAAGCAGTATCACAGCTAGAAAATCAATTGACACATGTAGAATTTTGTAGCTATATCTTTGATGAAAGCTCTTATCTTCAAGAATGAAAATATTGAAATGATTGTAGTGTTACAAAGTTCAAATTGAAACACCTACGTATTGTATTATCAACATTGAAACAATCCATCAATGTTGATTTTTGAGTACATTATTAAAGCTGTCAGAGCAGGGAGTGATAGAGTTCAGAACAGAACCTTGAACTATCACAAATCCCACGAATTAGAGTTAACTCACCTTCACACCCAAGAGTAATTAGAATGTCTTGGATCAGTTTTTCATTTCCATCACAATAACAAATAATGAAAGAACACAAAGACATGAAACATTATGAAATAAACAGAATGAACTACATACCTGTCAGAGCAGGGAGTGATAGAGTTCAGAACAGAACCTTGAACTATCACAAATCCCACAAATTAGAGTTAACACACCTTCACACCCAAGAGTAATTAGAATGTCTTGGATGAAGAAAGGAGACTCTTCTTCGCTGCTCTTCGAGGTTTATCAATAAACTTCCTTGACATGAGTATTAGGTTAATTATGATGATAACCGCTACACAAACATAACACATGAGTGATTCTACATAAGTAATGAGTAAATGATATATGAAATATTAGACCTTTTAGATTATGATCAATTATGTATGAAATTAAGAAAAACATAACACATAATACACTATAACTTTAACATACATATCTTAAGAGTTTGTTTGATCACAAACTCGATGATCACTGAAAAAAGTCCTAATGTCAATTTCGACACTTGAGTAATTGCCTTTTCTACCAGTCCAAGTCCACTGCCTACACATCATGGCATAACCATATTATGGCTTTCAAATCTTAATATTGCTTGGAATGTAGAGGCTTGGACTACACCGTATGGTTACTTGCGTTTATGGGAGAGCTTACCTTGTCATATATTTATTGTCTGCTATGACAACAGGGAGGTGTAATCAAATCCCTTAAAGTATCAGTTTGATTTCATAATGCAACAGAGTGAATCTGTGTATTTTTAGTCTGCCTCTACCTCTACCTCATGTCATCATGAGCGAGGTGAGTGCCGTTTCTTGAAACTGACTACCTCTCGCACTGATCAGCGCATGAGACTGGGTGTACCAACATCCATTGGAAGTACTGATCACAGCATATAAATCGAGTGACATGGCAGCAATAAGTCTTGAGAAATCTTGGGAACATATTGATCATAGTTGACTATTGCACAACACGCTAGCACACGTAACAATTGATGACTGGCTTCTTGGTTAATCTGCCAAGCATGCAAACTTAAAAGAGCACTTTTTTAGAAGGCTGGGTAGGCAGAGGTTCAGAGAAAGTATGATATATATGATTAGCAAATTGGAGGTTGCGTGATCAACGGTTTTTGGTTTGAGTTCAAATTGTTAATTTTCTGATTGATCACAGATTGTTCTTTGGATTTATCATATTGAGTACTTTACTCTTTGCCTTTCCCTTTATCAATATCCATTTCATTGTTGATTGAAGCGGGCACAAGCTCATCGATGACAGTGCATTTGATAACTTTCTTCTTTTGCGTCTGCTGGTGGGTGCGCTCACCAGAACCGTGATGAGGCACCGAGCTGGCGGAAAGATGTCATTAAAGGTATGACACAAGCTTTATGTGTGTGTGTCTGATTGTGAAATGTCCGGGTCTCAGCAACTGCAACTCAGTCTTGGACATCTCAATAGCCCTATGCTCCCTAAAGTTTAGAGGAATGGCTGAACGTTGTAGAACTCCTACGCAGTGTAGTGTAGACTGAGCCGGAAGAGGTAAGAATCACCACTCAAGAGAGCGGATGAAACTATGGTGCGGTTACGTTGCCTTCAACCTTAATTGTACTGCAGTTCACAAAAACTAGAGCAATTCTTAACAATTTTCTATCCCTATGATTTTTTCCCGTAACACTTTTTGAAGTTTATAGCCAGATCCGCAAGGCTTGACAGATCCCACTGATACCCCACACAACTCTACACAACGTGGTGTCACAAAGTTGTCTGAATTTCGAGTTGTACACTTTTATGGCAATGTGTAATTATTACACACAGGTCCGGTCTATGTAGCCTGGGACCCGTTTGACCCGGCCTTGACTTCAATCAAGAGGCGGGTTTGCCAATTTTTTGTTTTAGTCCTGAATTCGACGACTACACAACTATTCTGCGACACAGCTCAGCAACTGAAACAACACTACGATAGAACTATAAACAACACAACACTGCCAACTTATTCTGAACAATCCTTTTTCAACAATGGTAAACTTTTTCTTTTCTATCTATCACTCTCTTTCTTTTAAAGAGATAACAAAAGACTAACTAAAAAAACCTTGCTTTAAACTTCTCAACTCTGAAATAGGCTCTCCAAACACTTGATCACACTTTTAACACACACACAAAGGTTCACACTTATATTCGGACACACAGATACTCCCCCCTCTCTAGAGACCTCTCAAACAGACCCCTTTATATACCTTCCTCTGCCTCCAACCACAACTCGGCCTCATCTTCTCTTATCAATCAATCAATCGATCCGTTTATTTTCTCAACAGGTCTTGACTCCGTTCTTTTCGATCCGCTTGTTCAGTTTTATGTAAGTTTTTATGTAATTCTCCTCTTCTCTTTTGCTTCTATCCCATCATCTCTCTCCTGACCCACTTATTACATATTTTACTTGATATTGATTTAGACGCTCCACTCCGACTCTGATTCAATTTGACTTGGTCACAAGTTGTTGTTTAATTTAATTTGTTTCCATCTATTGTAAGTTCCTCTTCTTTTCTCTACTTGTATATCTTCTGACTGATCCCTCCTTTTCTTTCCTTTGTTCTTAGTCTAGTTTCTTAATGCAATCCCTTGTTAGCTTCTCACACTGCTCCAATCGTGCTGCTTCGACCTTGACTTCGCTTAGCCATTTTAATCAATGTTATTATTTATTTTATTTGTTTATTTAATTTCTTTGCTTCCCTGGTTATGACTTGTTCTTCTGATGTGGGTGATGAGGAAAATAAGTAATGGTAAAAAAACCTCCTTGATTTCAACTTTTGATCTGTTTAGATCGTTTTTTTTGCTTCCTCTGATCCAATTTCCTCTTTATTGTTTTATTTCTTCATTTGTTTGTTTCTTAACTCTAGTTTGTAATGTTTATATATTATATGTGCTGTTTCTGTAAACTGATCAATTGAGTATTAGTAAAAATAAGTAAAGAAATATATAAAAAAAATGATCTTTCTAAAAAAACTGATCCGTCTTGAATTGAGTGTTGTCCATCTGATCCTTGAGAATCTTAGGGCACGTTTGGTAGCGATTTTTAAAATAAACCTCAATTACCCCCGGGTACATTGCCCCGGGGCGAAGGAGCTTTTGTGAAAAATCGAGCTTTTTCAAAAAAAACTCCGTTTTGAGTACATTCGAAAAAAACTCGTTTGGTTGAACTTTCATTCAAGCCCTGTTTACCACTTCTCACATCTTCTCGCACGTCACATCTCACCAACTGTATTCATCTGGATTCACCACCGATGTCCGATACAGAT